AAACTGTATTTAGTGAATAGTTTGCAGTGAACCCATGGCTCTGCCCTCAATACTTTGTGATTGATATATTTTATATCATGTGTGGGTATTTACGTATCTATTTCTTTTACCTTTTCTCAGTTTTGCCTTTTCTAACTTATAAGGACAATAATTTTTGTAATGTCTTACATTTTCCGTTCGGGAAAATGTTTATTTCAGTTCTCTGTTTGGTGATTTTATTTTTATTGATTTGAATTGTGTATTCAACAGTGCTAGATTTTTTTTAAATTGAAGGCCACTACTATACATAATGTGAATTTATTAAAAAAAATAAAATGAAAGGAATGCATTTTTATGAGGAAATCAATGTTGATATTCCCATCATAATCTTCCTAAGATCATGTATTGCATCATTGGGACACTTTGTGGGCTTGAACTACAAAGATTTTCCTGTTCTATGGTACAAGATAAATAAAAACAAAAGCATGTATTTTATTTAGACTTTTTTTAAAACACATAAAATAACTAATAATTTTAGTTAACATAAGTGAAATCACTTTTAGTATATTTAGTCCCTAATGCACAATGCAATGATAATTTATGCAACATGCACAGGTGTGTCTCAAAGGGCACAGTGCTCCATACTCCAGAGTGCTTCAGAGTTCCATACTGCTGTAAGAGGACACGGGGAAGGGTCATCTCTAACAGGTATTTCCGAAACGAAACGCTGAAAATGCTAGAGATTGACCTTAGTAAGATAGGGGACAGAAAGAATCGGCTGACCAGTAGATGGAAGGGGTCTACCGTGGGAAGCAACGAGACACAGCTGAGACGAATCAGGAACCAGAATATAAGTGGCCCGGAGGCAGTGAACAGGGCGGAAGCCAGTAGGTGAATGCGTTTTAGAGGAGGTAGTGGAAGTCAGTTGGTATTGGGACAGATTTAAGGATAACAGCTTTACGGAAGAAATAAAGGTTTACGGTTTATGGTTTGTGATTTGGATACGGCGCGGATTGGTGGAACTTTACGGACTTTGGAACTCGGACTGAATAAGGATTGAGAGAACGAATTGCAGACTGACTTGGAAACTGAGAAAAACTCCACGAAAAGAGAGTCTGGTGTGAGTACTTTTGTCTCTATAACATAAGCCTTTCCCCCGGAGGCACCACACTGCCAAAACATAAGCAGCTTTTGCATAGTAGACCAAATAATAGCAGAAAGGTAACAGCGATACCGCACTACAGCATAACTGTTTTTCTTTTTAATTTAGAAATAAAAAGAGTATTTTTTCAAATTCAATGCATTTCTATTCCTTTAACATTAACACCTTTGCCTTTCCTAACTTGTAAGGTCAATATCTCCACCTTGTGGTCATTGTTAGTAATGTCTTATTAGAGGTAAAAAATTTATTTCAATTCTATGGAAGCCCGTTTCCGCCAGGGAGTAAAAAAAAAAGTGCTATGGTATCTCAGAATTCCGACTAGGTATCTCAGAATACACCAACAGCTACAGACTTCTGGCCGACATCATGGCTATCGGTGGATGCACCAGAAATGCTGGATGGCAGG